GGTTACGAGTCCGACTCTCTAACCATTAGGCCACGACTTCCCCCAATATGTCTCTGGTAAAATAATATGATGCATTATAAAGGTCCTCATAACTGTATAAGCTGTATTACACGTCATAACCTGAATATAAGATGCACATGATGCATTAAAACAGATTTATAGGTGTTCTTTTCCTCTTTTGCAAGTCGCTTTGGATAAAAGCATCTGCTAAATGCATGCTCGAAACAGATAAGATAAGAACAAACACATTACAGTGACATTCAAAGCATTGCATCAAATGAAGGCTGATTTGAATCAATACAGACTGAAGAACGTGTTTCTCAGTGTGGCACTGAGCTGAGATAATCATGTGATTCTGCGGTGTTTGTCTCTGTATATCGGTCTCTGTCTGGGTTTGTTTACCGTGATGAACGCTTGTATTAATGCAGTGCAGTGAAAAGCATGAAGAACCGTCGTGTTTCCCGTCTGTCCCTCATCACGTCACAGCTCCTCTGAAGAGACGGAGGTTCACTCCTGTGAGTCTGTGCTTTATTCTGTGTTCTCAAAGCTCCATCGAAGTAGCAGGCGTTTCTCCTTTGTTTTTCTGGCTTGGGTCACAGAGGAGCAGAAACTCTTTGTTGAATCCTCGCTCGTTCTGCAGCGACCTCGTTCTCCGTCAGTGTAATTAAACATCTCGCTGAACGCTCGCATCCGCACAGAAACTCTCCAACCCCGATCTCAAGTTCTTCACGCTCCTGTCTAACACTGTGTGTTCTACATCGCAGTATTTTCTGGGATGTTATCGTTAACGTAATTAGATAATATTTTGCTGAGTGTGGTTTCGGCCCGTTCTGGACTCATGACTCAAAGCTTTTCATATTCTGTGCCAGAAATCAGCTTTTCCATTAAGGGCCAACATTTGCCCTCTTAAACTGATCTCCAGGGCATTTTATCTTTATAAGGCCAATGTTTTCTAACCCTGTTAGATATATGCATCATCTTTTATCTCACATTCTTACATTTAATCAATAAATTCAGTTAGAATAAGACGACACTGTAGGCTGTTACCAATCAAATGATGTGTCAGTAAAATCCATTTTTGCACTGCAGAAGAAGCGTTTAGATGAAGTTACACAGTAATTACAACTGCATAAATAATGCAAAATGAGATTAATGCTCCTAAAATAATATTTTGAATATTGAAATATGAAATTTGATTTTTTTTTTTTAAATGAAAATATACTTTAAATATGAAACTAAAAGACTAAATGTGACCCTGGATCATTTATGAAACGAGACTAAAAGTCTTAATTAATGAGTGAGTCATTTACGCAAATTATTCATTAAAACGGTTGATTCACTCAGCAACAAGGCAACTGACTCTCTTCAATGAATCATTGATTTGTGCAAAAAAGTGGATTCACTTACTAAGTAATGTTTTGTTTGGAACTATTTTTGTTTTGCTAAATAGAGCAAAAATGACAATACTGACAGTATCACATCTGTGATCGCGCTGATATTCTAAACAGCATGTGATATTGATTATATCCTGTAGAAATGTAAGACAAACTCATACAGGGGCATTTTCAGGCCATTCTAACTGCATTCTACTAGGACAGTGTGAATGATCAAAATGTGTTTTGGTTTTGATTTTTGTAAAGTGAGTGACATAATGTCAATTGCTGCATCGTTAAAACAACAACTGTGTCATTATTGCAGGCGATGCTCCTGCTTACAGAGGATCGGCGGGGCCCCTGGGGGCCCATGGCATTGTGTGCCGCTTTATCCCTCTGTTTACCGCGGTAGAGAGCAGCAGAGCGTGATGTCACATCTTTGTCTGTCTTTTCAGTGCGGG